TGTTGTTGTTGTTATCATTGTTATTGTTGCTTTATTTCTCAAGAATTGTGAAAGACGTTTTAGTCTTGTACTGCCCATGATTGTATTTTCTTTTTATATGCAATATATCTCTACAGTATGTACATGTATTTATGTATCACCACAAAACTTACTTCAGCATTTTAAATCTTGATTCTCTTTTTGGAAAATCTTGCTTGATATTTAGTCTGATCTGATATCCAGTAATCTGCTTTAATCTAACTGTTCCTTATGTAATATAAGCACATCAAAATCTTATTTTCAGGCGGAAGCACTACATGAATGCAGAGAATTGAGACAAACCACAAACAAAAATACTAGTCATGGTATCATGTGTGTTTTTTTAGGACACAAAATACAATTTTTTTAGGACAATCCATAGCAGTGCATTATTTTTTGGACGTATCATGGCAGTACCATCATAATCCTTGAAGTGCCTTTTGAGTACATCATGTCCTGTACACGGTTCTGCCACAGAAAAGTAATGAGAAAGCAAGAGCGATTTCTATCTCTAAGTCTGAACAATGCGAAGTAGCCTATGTGTGGGAGGATGTTTATGCGTGCTCATCTCCATCTAACTGTTTGGATGTGTGTGTGTGTGTGTGAGTGCGTGAATGCTGCTCTATATGAGAGAGAATCAGTGGCTGTGTGGGTGTCTGTGTGTGGGATGCTCTCTCCGGCGAAGCTAATGTGAAGTGTTCAGAGAGCTCAAGAGAAGCGCATAGAGCTTTTAATAAACATAGGTAGCCATGCTAACGTCCACAACCCCCATAAATGCCACATTTAAAGCTCTTCTATTCTATATCAATAGCACCACCCGAATGCCAATTATGTCATTAAGAATCTTGTTTGATCTAAAAACGTCCTGCGCAGGATGTGCAAAATCCGGCCAGCCGTCTATTTCACCCTTCCAATTTTCTGCTTTCATCTTTATCTCTGCGTATCTACGAGACTTGTAGAAATCGACAAAAGCACGGGGATGTTTCAGCAAATTAATTTGGCTGTTTAATTAGACTGTTTTTGATAAAGCGCTGAGGAGGAATCTGCTGCTACTGATGCAGCTGGTATCTGTCACAGTTAGAGGGGAGTAACACCCTCACTCCCTCCGTCACATTCACTCGTTTTCTCTCCCCCACAAGCCTCTTCATTCGCTCAGTCGCTGGAATCCGAGGCTTATAACGAGCAGTCTGCCTCCGAGACTAGTTCCTGTGCATAAATTATTTTAGCATGTTTATATTCAGCTGTTGAAATCACTGTTCAAAATGAAGAACTATTTTTGGTAGGCTAAATGTTTTGAATGACTTAAAATTTCATGTTTCATGACTTAAACTATGTCATCATTATTACATTGCCTATTTAGAAGAAAATTATTTCTTTAGTAGAATCACCTCAAAAGGAGTTCTATGCAAATGTTCCCTTTTTACATGAACTCAAAAAATGATTCGGGCCCTTCATAGATAGTGTTCACTTTACTTAAACATATCTAATTAGGAGTAATACGTATTTATATTTAATGAGTCCAACATAAAATAGTGTCATCTATAAGACCAATTTAAACTTGATCACCTAAATTTAGTTAGATTTGTGAAAAATCACAGCCAATCAGAAGCGCTTGTGGGCGGGCTCTCACTTGACTACATTGACAAAACTGATAGGTAGATAATCAAATTCATAAATCATAAACAATTTTAACATGATTAAAAATACACACTGAGTGACCTACTGAACGAATACTCCCACTTCACTAAATGAGTCGCTGTTTTTGAGTCTGAATGAGATTCGCAGTCGCACTAAACATCTTAATTGTCATATGCAATTACAATTACGTTATTTAAACAGTGAGACTTTCAGTGACTCATTATGTGTTCATAACACAAAAAGACACTAATTTTTGCCACCTACTGACACAATGACTCAAAGTCCCCACCATATAACCCCCAATTCCCCTTAAGCCTTCTATACACTGCACGATTTTAGCAATCTTATAAGAGCATTACAAATCACACTGCGACATGGATCTGATAAATTTGGGTACGACATGTATGTAAACTGTATGAGGATGAAACCTAGTGACTCGTAGGCTACGACTATTGAAGAATAAAATGGATTAAGCATGCGCTAGTGGTAAACAAAAAGAGCATGATGAATCACAATTTGGCAGTTGTACTTTTTATGTGTGCTGAAAAAGTAAGCAGTTTTAAGTTTTGGTGACATGTCGCATTGATCAACATGCCATTTCATGTTGCATTTTTATTGGCTGGTCAATAAACGTGGGTCGTAGCAGCAAACACACACTGCGATGATCATGCTGAATTTCTGACACTGTCAGAAAATGATCGTATAGTCTATCTTTGGTCACAAGAACGTGACAACGGCCATCTTTGAACCTCTCTCACAGTACAACATAGGACCACCGTTTAGGAGCCACAATCACAGAAAATTGCTAAAAACGGATGCGCGTAAGAAAACTTGTCCGGAGTTTTACATTATCAACTCATAAAAGTTAAACGAATACAATTTGACTTTTGTCATAGTAGAAGTCACACTTCAGGACTGTGCACCAAATCTTTTGACACTGCCAGAATTTCGTCTGAGGTAAAATTTGATCGCAATGGTCGGCTGTCGGTGCACATGTCAAACTAACGATCAAAGACTACAGATTTTAGCCTAGGATTGGAGGAATCTTTTAGGATTTGTGAAATTTGTCTCAGATGGCCAAATCGTGGCTGTCGTCTTCATTTTTCAAGACAAGCCAAAAAAACTCCGGCCGTCTCAGCCGAATCGTACTTTTTTCATTAAATATTTAGCATAAAAATGTTTCTTTGTTACATTTATATTGTAAAACCTTACAAAACAAAACACTTTCATATTTCAAAGTGTTTCTTTATACCTTGACAACATCTCAACTAAATAGCTCACGAAAACATATTTAATGATACAATACAATCCCTAATAATACAAAATCTTCCACATAGACAAATAATATCTGAGAATAAAAATGTGGTGTTTGCAGCAGGTGCAGATGGATATGGAAAGGCAGCAGATCAATATACACATTAAAGGATTTGAATAAAGCACATGGTGATGTAGGGAATCATGGGAGATTTATATAATGTCAATGAGTCATACAGTGAATCACTGCAAAGGAGATGTGAGATGCAGAGTGAAATTGGAGTGAAAAAAGGGATGAAATGGAAGGATGGCAGTAGATAAGAAGGGCCAGGATGTTCAAGGAGACAGAGTGGATAAGGGAAGAGGTTGGCAGCTCTTTTTACAGATATAGTTTGAGAAATCTATTTTGTGCAAACAATTAAAAGATGTTTAACTTGATTATAAATACTTTATGGGTTACTGCACAATGCATGTTCATATCCTGTAAATTAAAAAACCATTAAAAAAAACCCCATAAAGTTGTATTTATCTTAGCATGACAGTCCTTTAACACTGTCAATATGGTAAAATATGCATACCACAGAATATCATAGTGAACTGGTTTTAATTCTAGAGGTTAAATCCATTGGTTGTTGATTAGATGACGGCATACTGAATTTTTAAATGAAACATATGCATGGATGAATCATTCATAATAAGATGCATTTAGAAAACGGGTGAATTCTTCATTTCATGGAAGCTTTCATAAAATTAACTTTCAGCTTTTAAAAACGAACTCTCTTATGAGAAAACCAAAGCAACATATTGATGAGTCATCCTGAACTAAACTGATTTTTGTCCAATCAAATGCTTTCTAGAGTGAAAATGTCCCACCCACTATTACCACCTGCCACCAATTAGCAAGTAGCAAATCCTGGTTTGTTAATGTGATGAATCTATCTCCAACCCTGATCCTGGAGAGCTACAGTCTAACAGACTTAGTCTTCTACACACTGCACAATTTTGGCATCGTGAAACAAACGTGGCGATTTCTGTGATCGTGGCTCCTAAACGGTGGTCCTATGTCGTACAGTGAGAGAGGTTCAAAGATGGCCATTGTCGCATTCTTGCGACCAAAGATAGCCTACGATCATTTTCTGAAAGTGTCAGAAATTCAGCATGATCATCGCACAGTGTGTTTGCAGCTACGACCCTACTGACCAGCCAATAAAAATGCGACATGAAATCAACACGACACGGTGCTAAAACATAAAACCGCTTACCTCAAGCTCTTATCCCTTCCTCTTTCGCCTCTTCCACTTTTTTCAGCACACGTAAAAACTACAACTGCCAAACTGTGATTCATCATGCTCTTTGTTTACCACGAGCGCATGCTTTCTTTGCGTTTCTTTCTTCTATAGTAACGTGCGTTGTAGCCTACGAGTCAGTAGGTGTCATCATCATACAGTCTGCATACATGTCGTACCCAAGTTTATCAGATCCATGTCGCAAGTTCTAACCCTACTGGAGCTGAAATCTGAAAGATGGTAGCTCTCCAGGAGCAGGGTTGGACACCCCTTAACTAAAGCGTAACCTCATGCTTCAAAAGTACAAATGCGTAACCCAAACCTGTTTCAAAACTAAAAATGTGTAACCCAAACCTCCTGTTTCAAAAGTAAAAATGTCAAAGTGGAAAAAAACCTGCTCTTAAAGCAACTTTATGGCATCTTTAAAACATTTTGTGACTTTAGATCAGGAATATAGCTGAAATGCAGATGCAAATCACTTTTGAAAATGTCTTAATAGGGGTGTTGCACATTAAAGACAGTCAAAAAAAAGTATAATGCTATTTTTCATTTAACACTGGGGTTATTAAAACTCAGTCCACCAGAACCAGAAATAACTATATTATGGTGTAAATACTGATAAAACTTTCCTGTTTCTGAAAGCATATTCAGCCATCTGTCTGTGTGTCTGACAGAAAGTACTTCTATAATCTCTCACCTTGTTCAGTCAAGCATGCCAGTCCAGAACTCCCCAGGTTTTTGTTAGACATAACACAAAAAGACCAAAAAAAAAAGTGCAGCTTCAAACATAAATACATGTACTTTGTGTGCAAGCTCAAAGTGTCTGTAGTTTAATGCTGTAACTAACGGACAGATCTCTGTGGTGGTTGAGGCTTATCGATGGTTGACCATAGTGCTGGAATTGGAGGGATGAGGGTGTGAAGATCTACGTCATCTTCAGTCCAAGGACAACCAATACTGCTGCCATAGATTAATGCCATCTTCTCTCAGGGTTTGAAACATGCAGAACAGGTCATTTCTTTGTCAGAGTTGAGCTGAGGAGAGATGGTATCTGGAACCACTGATTTTAAGATATCATTCTCGCTGGCAATTATGTGTTTCACAAGGAAGTTGGCAGCTTCATTAATGTTGATGTTTTCCTAAAATTTAGAGAGAAAGAACATACATGAAACATTTTTAGACGACCAGGTTTCAGATTTTCAGATGTTTGGTTTGATCATTCAGGAATAGGACTGTGTTTGATCGGATCTGCCATTGAACTTGACCTGGGAACAGTGATGAATTATTAAAACCCATGAAAATCCTACTAGATGGAGGTTAATTTAAGACTGATTGGACTCTTCAATAAGGATGAATGGACAGAGGTCCTGAAATAAATAAATAAATCAATCCCTTTGAAACATCTCTATTGGATTTAATGAGATGGCCCCAATGTTCCAACGGTCCATTCTCCCGTTTCCCTCAGCAACTGCTCTGCATGTGAGTAGCAGGTCTAATTAGCATGCAAATATAAATAACCTTCAATCAGAAGCTTTAATCAAGCACTAAATGCTCTGACAATACAAGTTCTGTCAAGAGATATTTGTTAGACTGCTGTCAGTGGGATAGAAAAGCTATTTTATTGTACATATAGGTGGTCCTTGCTAATGGTGGCTGCCATGTTGAGATCATATGACCAACAAATTAATCTTGTAACTCTCCTGACACTTTCAGCTGTGGAATGAATTTATTACACTTATATATTAAATTCATATATATATATATATATATATATATATATATATATTATATATATATATATATATATATATATATATATATATCAGGGTATTTACATGGCACTCCAAAGAATACCACAGTACATATAAAAAACAAACAAAACACAGTATTACCTTGATACCATGTCCTAAAATGTCTTTTTTATTAGTTTAATTCCCATGGAACATGAATACACTAATTAGTGAATATACTATAATGGCATATATTAAATTACCATGGTATTAGCATCTGAAACCATCACTATACCATGGTACTATAGACTTTTTTGCAGACAGACACAAATATGATGCTCCATCTAAAATCATACCAAAATGTTATGCCTTACCCTAGCAGACGTCTCAAACCAGCCCACAAATCCATTCTCCTTGCAGTACTGGTCCATCTTCAGGCTGTTGTTAGTCAGAAAGTCTCTTTTTTGGTCGCACTTATTGGCCAGGAGCACTGTGGCTATACTCTGGCCATTTGAAAGTGTTAATTTTGAGTCCAGATCCTCCTTCCATTTGGAGACAGCCTCAAACGTGGTGGGTCTGGTAACATCAAAAACAATGAATGCCCCCATGGCCTCCCGGTAATAAACCCTTGTCATGTTCCCGAACCGCTCCTGACCTTCCAGTGCAAATGGAGAGGGAGAAAAAAAAGGTAAAAACAACTGGGAGAAGCATGACACGTCACACAACAAGCCAAATGCCACTACCATTCAAAATAAAAGAAGATTCTTATGCTCACCAAAGCTGCATTTGTTTGGTGAAAAATACAATAAAACAGTAATATTGTGAACTATTATCACAATTTAAAATAACTGTTTTCTATTTCAATGTATTTTAAAAAGTAATGTGATGGAAAAGCTTCATTTTCAGCAGCCCTTCCAGTCTTCAGTGTCACATGATCCTTCAGAAATCATTCTAATGTGCTGATTTGGTGCTAAAGAAACATTTCTTATTAGTGTTGAAAATAGTTTTACTTTTTTTCATACTCTAAGGATTCTTTGATGAATAGGAAGTTCAAATGAACAGCATTTTAAATAAAAATCTTTTGTAACATTATAAATCTTTAGTGACTTTCGATCAATTTAATGTGTTCTTACTTAAAATATTAATTTCTTGAAAAAAAGAAGCCACAAATGTTTGAACACTAGTATACTGTATATTGCATGCATAAATTTCTTATATACAGTGGGTACGGAAAGTATTCAGACCCCCTTCAATTTTTCACTCTTTGTTATATTGCAGCCATTTGCTAAAATCATTTAAGTTAATTTTTTTTCCTCATTAATGTACACACAGCACCCCATATTGACAGAAAAACACAGAATCGTTGACATTTTTGCAGCAAATGGCTGCAATATAACAAAGAGTGAAAAATTGAAGGGGGTCTGAATACTTTCCGTACCCACTGTATATAGTAAGATATTTTAAGTAGCAGCTCATGGTCTCAAATTCTAAGAAAAAGCCTGTGCCAGGATAAAGTTGGCATGATTACATTTAGTATAATGAGTCTACTGGTGAAGAACACATAACTCTTTACAATTCTTTGTGCATGCATAGTGTAAATACGCATTGTTCTGACCAGTATCCACAGCAAACTTTCCTGTTGTTCTTATTCAATCAAATATGCTTGTTACTACTGATTTTTCCAGCTAATGGCACATTCCATCTGTGTGACTTTCTCCTGTCTGACTCTGAATGCAGCCACTCATCTGGGCTGCCAGCATTATACAACATTCCCTAGGACAGCTGTTTCTCTCAGTTTGTTCTATTATTTGTTCAAAATTAGAATCAGGAGGTGTGTGTTGATCTCCGTCTGACAGCAGCCTGCTTCACACTTGATGGACCACGAAACAAGAAATGTTGTATTGGTTTTGTTAATCCATATGGGCTTTTGAGATATTGCACAGGTGTTGTACAATGAAATATGAACAATGAATGTAAATCATCAATCAAGTCTAAATGAATCTGGCCTTTGCTTAATGTGTTTATGAACAAAATGCAATTTTCAGGTTTGAATAAGAGTTTTTGCTGCTATCACTGACTGACATTTGATGAAGCAGTGGGGATTGCCCATTACAGAAATTGTTACAGTCACCTAACTTGACAACTTGGCAAAATGTGTGTGCTTTTGGAGAAAACTATTAGCCACTAACAAGGAAAATGAACTCAGCATGTTTCACTTCATGAAACTGTATGTCAGATGACTTCCTGGGCAGCAATGAGGAGTTTATGAAGCCCACGAGGAGTTTATGACTGTGTAAGTATGACTGCTGAGTCATGTCAGGATGAGAGTTTAACATAAAGCCAGTCATCATAACAAGGAAAGTATATTAATGATGAAGAACAAACCTTTAAGTTCCTTAGTCTGCTTTAGAATATGAGCGGTTTAATAACTTACTTCTGTATTGGGCCTCATACACCTTACTTATCCTAAGTAAAGCAGTAGACTTTCTAAAATAAAAGTGTTTGTTAGATGCTACTTCATTTATTAAAATTTACTAAACACTACAAGGTAGGCTACTATTGTTACCACGGCTAGTTACTACAACTAAAGTGATGCAAACAAACATAATGACAGGAAGATTAAAAGCTTCAGTTTGAAGGGGGTATTATTATGGTTGGAATTTTGGCGAAAACTGAGGTTACCATGGTATATATTTGCGTATAAACATATGAATAAATAAGTAAACATCTTTAAGAACTAACACTACATTGATTTTCCATGTGTTTCTCATCTAAGTCGCTTTGTTGTCAAATGTGTTGTTTCGAGCAGGTGTGCTGTGGCTGTAAATTGACCGTAGCTGTGGACTGAGAACTGTAAGTGCTGGAAATATTACCCTTGGTTTGTTTAGAGATTTTCCCCCAGTTTCATCCGGGTGATTTATCTCTCAATCTCTCTCACATGAGACTGTGACGTGCCTGACACGTGAGGAGGACGATAAACAGAGACGAGCAAAGGTTTCTGGTTTGGGATCATATTTTGTTGCAGAACAAGATCAACTGACGTTAGATTTAACGACGTTAAGCCGTAATGGACTAATTTGATATCGACATAGAGCTGCTCTCTAAAGTTTCACGGATCTCCACCTAACAAACCAGCCAGCCCTTACGAAAATTAACCATTATTTTATTATAGTAAAATTATAGTAACCATGTTTCTTTCTTTTTTTTACCATTTGTAAATGGCAAAACGGTTTGTGATTTAACTGTAATGCCCTGTTATTTATTATTTATTAATTTATTTATCAACGTTAAAACTAAGCATGTTGGTGGCTATATTTTAAAGTTCCAAACTTACTGCCTATGTCAACATAATATTTAATTGTTTGTTTAAGCTAATAAAAAATAGTTGAATGTTTTCGTTAATCTAAACAAACACGGTCACGCCAGGGAATTCTTGATTTATGCTTATAAAAACAATTATAATGTTAACAATATGTTAATAATATTTTACATTAAACCTTATAAATTATGCCTTATTAAATAATATTACAAAGAAAAATAATTTTCTTAGTAAATTATAATGTAGTCAAATTAAAACTTTTAACGATAAAACTAATGCAATGAAATTACGTTTATTTAAAAAAAGGCATATATATATATATTTATTTATTTAACCTATATGGTAAGATAACTTAGTGTTTTCCATTCAAATGACTAATATTTTTACAGTTTATGTTTTAAGTGTTTATTTAAAGACACTTTTGGCTAACCCTTTCAGCTTTATTGTGGTAGTAACTGTAACTTTACATGTTGGCTGAATCTATGGTTAACGTGGTAATTGTTTTTGAATATTTAGTGACTAAATTCCATAAGTTAAGTTATGTGCTACTTAAAAACAAAGCACTTTTTGCCATCTTGCTTTTCAGCATATTTTTTAATAAATGCTGACACGGATATGTCTTGGCTTTGACACACTGTTATAGCCTACTTTCTCTTACCGGCGATGTCCCACAGCTGCAGCCGGACCGTCTCTGAGTCCCAGTTGAGAACTTTGAGCGCAAAATCCACCCCGATGGTCGCTCTGTAGTTAGTGGAGTACGTCTGATGCACATACCGTTTGATGATGCTGGTCTTCCCTACTCCCAAATCACCGATGACAAGGATTTTGTACAAATGCTCTTTCCGATTGTTTTGCATCACTGAGGACATTTGTGTGTTCAGAGTTTATCACACTAACTAGTCATCTGTCATTGAACTTAAACTAGTACCGCCCAGGGCGTGGGGAAACTTGTGACCAGCTGTTCCTGAGCACTGTTTGCTCATGTGCACTAAATTTCCTGCCATTCAGTTTGTTTACTCATGATGACAGAAACCTATCTATCTATCTATCTATCTATCTATCTATCTATCTGTCAGTCAGTCTGTCTGTCTGTCTGTCTGTCTGTCTATGTACTCTAGCATAAAGAAAGAGAGAAGGAGAGAAGTACATAAAGGAGACGAAAGAGGGGGTTGAACTGCATTCCACACTTAATCATGGAAACTGTGAAAATAACACAACCACGCAAACTCCATTCTTGGAACACGGCATCTCCAAAGACCTCATTTTGTGATTATATCCATGTATTCACACTGAAAAAAAATAAATAAAAATTATATATATATATATATATATATATATATAGGTCTGATTAAATGATTAAAGTAAAAAAAAGAAACAATATTTGTAATTGAGTCCCCTTTAATAACACTCAGGTAAAACCAATATTTTTACACGCTTTGAAGATAAATAAAAAAGGCTTATCCACACCATAAATAAAACCTCGAAGTAACAGAAATATTGCAAGCTACATTCGTCCCACTGTCACAAAGCTTAATCCACTATGACCGTCATATTGAACCAGCACAAGTTAGTAGAAAAATACATCACACACACAAGGCTGAAATCTACATTCTACGAATGTCTTATCAGAAAAGGCAAAGAGCAAAAAATGCAAAAGACTTTTAGAAAATGTACAAAAGTTCTCAAAAGAACATTAAGCACTTATTTTAGCTAATGGCACTGCTTTGCATGCAAACATGTGACCTTAGTACATTACACCTATTCAAGAAGAATATTGCACATTGATTAAAAGAATAGATGTCTGTTGGTAGGTACAATGTGCGTTCCTACTAAGTCTAAACAGTTCAACTTAAATAAGTTCATACAAAAATCCTATCTTTAATTGGAGACTTTCATGTGGTTTATAGGCTTTGTCAATGAAAACTGTAATGCCCTGTGTGTAAGAATCATGTCCACAGTGTAATAACAATGGGAACTTTGTTTTTGGCTCATCTTCTGTATGTATGGATTTGGAACAAAAGCCTAAGTGGATTAAAAAAGGAAATGATTTGCAAATGGACTAATTATATTTTTGGAATAGGCCCTGCATTATATATTGCTTTATATTACATAACTGTTCAAATGTTTGGGGTCAGTAAGTTTAAAAAAAAATAAAAAATAAAAATAAGTCTCTTATGCTCACCAAGGCTACATTTATTTGATTAAAAAACAATGTTATAGTCTTTACTGACACTTTTGGTAAATTTAATGCATCCTTGCTGAATAAAAGTATTAATTTCTTTCAAAAAATCTCACTGAACCCAAACCTTTAAGTGGTAGTGTAAATAGTTGTTTTCTTTTATCTCCTATTAGTTTGTATAATTTTCTCAAATTCCATCTTTCAAATTAAAGTGATTAATTATTAAAATTTTAAGTAATACTGGGACATGTTCAAATAAATTAATATATCCAGTCATCTGAAAGACATATTGTCTATATTAAAGTGTTAGATTTGGTCAATACCTAAATAAACCTGCCCTCACATCCCTTCTATTTGATTTATTATGAAAAATATAACAATAAATATTATTTTATTTGAAGTTATATGAAGTGGCAGAACATGCAACCTCTAATCTACGAAAATAACAAAAATGACCAATATTTAAACAAACTACTTTGCACTCAAAGGCTTAATTTGGTCCTACATTCAACCGTTTGCACTTCCGTTGTGAAGAACCGTGCAAGAAGTTAATCTTGCTGACAGACAACAAGAGAGATAAAAATGACACCCTGGAGCGTTAGTTTGGTAATTTTTCACACCTGTGTAGATTGACGTCGTTGGAATGTTATTAGTGGTTTTAAATCCAGGAAAACTTGCAGAACACAAACTGACCAACATCAGTAACTTCTTGCCAAGAAGGACCATAAACTTGTCAGAGCACCCTAGTGCACAAGAGCATATCAAGTACATCCTTAATTATCTGAAAAGCAGTTTGGTGAAGTGCCTTCCCCTACACAGATTAGGATTTTGAGGACGGGCTGGATTCCAAGCTCCATAAAATGTCTTCAGCGAGTGCTTCTATATTAAGAGTTTACACTCCTTGACATTTACAGCTGGGTTTTGCAATCTAAGCAGATGCATGATCTCAGTAGCTGCCTCTCAGTCTCCTTCCTGCGCTCTGAATAATCTCTCAGAGCGAAGAGGAGCTTTGGCTGTAGTGCCGAAGCACCAGCTGGTCGTATATTGGAGAGCAGGGCTCACACAATGGCAGCTCTGAGGCTGGCGATGTGGGAGATTCGCTGATCGAGTCCACGGAGGAGTCTCTAAACGGCGAAGGTGGTGTCAAGGCGCCCAGGTCCTCAAAATCAGTGGTCCTGACCGCACACGAAGAGTCGTAGGTGCTGTCAAAAAGACTGGCGGGTGAAGCCCTGCTACTCCCACCGGTGATGATGCCCCCGGCGATACCGACCGCAGAGCGAGGGTTGGTGTTCACTGTGGCCACCACGTCAGCGTAGGTGGTGACAGTGGTTGGATGCAGCCTTTCTTGCGGGTGGAGATGGAAAGTAGGGGAGCAGGGTCTGGGGACCGGGGCGGCGGCGTTTACGCCTGTTCCCGGCGGTGAACCAGGCAGCATCATACTGTTGAGCTCACTGATGTTGGCCGTGAATCGACTAACCACACAGCTGATCTGATCCATGATGCAGGTCTGGGGTGGGTTGCCGTGCTGCAAGCGCTCTGTCAGGTATGAGGGTATAGTCACTACTGACGTACGCTCACCATCACGCTCTTCCATTTCGCGCCTCTGCATCGAAGGCCGCTGGCACACGGTTGGCAGCGGCGAAGGGGTCCGGGGGCAGTAGGTTACAGGGTAGCGCTGGTTTTTCTGAGACCCATCATATGCCAGCTTCACCCCTGTGTCTGGCGGACGATCACAGCCCTTTGAGAAGGGCTTAATAATGGCCGTCTGGTTGGCCTCTTCCTTTTTCTTAATGTGGATTGAGATCCGCTTCCACAGGTTTGGCCTGTAACTTCTCTCATTCTGTGCCCAGGTTACCGTTTTGCCGTTGGAACTGTTGAAAGAAAACAGCACTTTGTATTTGTATTTGATTGATTAATGTTACAAAAATACACGTTAAACTCCATTAAAATGTCTATTCAAATTACTGATAAATGTAAAAATGTCTATATAAAAAGTTTTTTTTATATGTCTGAAAAAAAATTGAGCTGATGTGGCTACTAATAACAATCACCAAAAGATATAAGTAGAAAAAGTGAACAAAATGTATAGCAAATTGTTAATTTATTGCAAAACACCGTTTACATACCCACATAACAACACAGAGTGTTTTATGCAGGGGTCACCAAACTCGCTCCTGGAGGGCCGGTGTCCTGCAGAGTTTAGCTCCAACCCTAATCAAACACACCTGCCAGGAAGTTTGAAGTATATCTAATAAGACCTTTATTAGCTGGTTTAGGTGTGTTTGATTAGGGTTGGAGTTAAACTCTGCAGAACACCGATTCTTATTAAAAATAAGAATGAATAGAGGGTTTTATGCCTCTGTGTGATGATAGTAAGTGACTTGACTGTCATTTAAATGATGCTAAAGGACATGCCAGCGTATATCAATTGAGAAACTATCTGCCTTTCCAACACAGAAATTTAGACTACATTCATGGACTTAGTATGGATTTATTCAGGCCACAGAATCACCTTTTTCAAAACAGTGAAGAGAGACCTTCCCCCTTCTGCTGCTACACCCTTGTTAGTGTGTAACACTACAGCTTAAAGGCAAGAGAGAATAGACCCTGCCATTAGACATCCCAATCCACCCATTCCAAGTGCAGTTACCACCCTCATCCAATCCTGTACGTCAGACAGGAAATCTCTAACTTCAGTTCTCCTAATGCACCTGGGGACCCATCGACCCAAATGTGCATAACTCCGGAGTTGCTCCAGGAATGATTCACAGGCATACAGGGTAATTGGTTGGGGCTCTTTTTTCTCTTTCGAGGGGAATACTGGCTTTTTTTTATGTGCTCTAAAATATGCTCAGTTGGAGAGTTGATTCATTTTCAGTCTAAACTCATTTTCATCCTCAAAAGCAAACCTTTGGCAGGCATTACGGAGAGATAAACAGATTTAATATGAGCTTTATTTATTTATATATTTATTTTGTCAGAAGGGGCTTCTTCTGCAATTGAGAGCTGTGACTGCACATCATCTTCTTATAAAGAGGTAAAAATAAGGATTTTTTAAAACTGACATGAAAAATAATTGACACGTCATGCCTCATTATCCTTAAATTCATTGAGTGTGAATCCAATTAAACCAAAGAATTTCAAAGAAGAATAAAGGAAAAATAAAAAAAAATCTTTGTTAGTTCTCAACTTTAGAGAGCTGAAGAAAACAATCTCAATTCTGAAATTATGACCAAACATTTTTTGTAACATCTCATACAAGGTATCATTAACTAAAACTCAAATAATATTGGTAATAGAAAAAAGCTGAAGTACAATATAAAAAGAAAATATTAATGTTAAAATAAATATTATAATATAATATAATAAATTATAATATAAATAAATAAATAAATAAATATTGAAATAAGATTAAATATAAATATATTAAATATTAATAAAATTAATATAATAATATAATTTAAAAAATATAATTAAAAAATATAATTAATATAAATAAAAAAATATTAGATGAAAATTTAAATGTTGCTTTGGCAACTAACTGAAAGAAGTTTTAGCCTAAGCACTAAAATTACTAACTGGAAATAAATAAAAACTACATATAAGAAATACATATAAGAAAACAACTAAAAATTGAAATGAATTTTAAAACTGAAAATATAAAAATACAAGCTAATTTAAAATATTAAACAATATCATACAACTATAATAGCAAATAAATCATACTAAAATAACACTGCCCTCATACTGACCTGACTGTGTCTGTGCCAGAGCATCGTCGTCTGACCAGATAATACAGGTGGTGTACATGGTGAACGCGATGTATTTGGCCTCGTTGAAATTGGCGGGGACGTTGCGGGTCTTAAAGGCGTAGAATGTGCAGCTGAGGATGAGCAGCCCGTTGTAGCCCAACGGTGCCACCACGCCGAGCGTGGTAGTGTTGCAGATGAGGTGCACCTCGCGTATGGACGGATAGTCGTAGATCACTTGCGGAGGTTCCATGATGAAGAGCGCCACGATGATGCCCAGCTGAATCAAGATCAGGATGAAGGCGATGACCAGCTGGGCGCAGGCACTCATGAAACGAGGCTTCTTGGTGCAGATCTTCTTCTTGCTGCCCGCAAGGATGCGAGCAATGCGATTGGTTTTGGTGACCAGAGCTGAGTAGCTCATGGCGGGCGAGAGCCCTATTCCCAACCTCTGCAAGTAACAGTAGGCCACGTGTGGTTTGGCGATGAGGCAGAACGTACACAGGTACCCCAAACAGATGCCAGCCAGGATGATGAAGCACAGCTCTCTGCTGGAGGACTTCACCACCGGCGTATCGTGGAACCTGATGAAGACTAATGTGACGAAGATGGTAGCGAGCAGGCCGAGGCAGGCGAAGACCACAGCTGCGATCGGCTCAGGATCTCCCCACAGAAGGTACTGCACCGGGATTGGCTCACAGCCTGAGGGACGTGAATTTGAAAAGACGTTAATGTAATTACTAGTAATTACAAATGAACACATTCATTTGGTGCGATTTATTATGGAAAAAAGAATGTTAAAATTATTAATGCATTTAACACCCAGACCTGTATGTAATCTTACATTGCATGCAGTTGATTATGTGGCGAACATGATGCAGGTCGACGACTGACTGCGTGATGTAGCCTATTAGAATGCAGTTATATGTCCCTAAAATTAAAGATATGAGGGCAAAAATTGCCACATATAGGTTTTTGTCTTATATTTATATCATTTGATGTAGTTTAGTAATATCACTCAAGCAAGAATGTTTTTCCTTAAATATCTGCACGATTGCAATTGATTTTATACAACAATTCAATAAACAAAGTAATATTGTCTTAAATTATACACACAATATTGTCGGTTTTGTTCAGTTTTGCAAAAGGAAATACAGTAGTCCCAAACAAAGCCACAGCAGAACTGTTTTGCATTTTTTTTAGCAACACACAGCAGTGTTTCGTTACTGAATGAATCCACGTTTTTGAACTTATTGAGTAAGAAATAAGGCATCGCTGCGAGTTGCCCCTGGAACTTTAAATAAAATGTTTCCACTTCAGGGGTTGCAATTATACCGCATTAAGATCTATGTGCAGTGCAAACAATATTTATCATAATTGAGCTATTCTGTATAGTGCCCATGTCTATGATTATTTAGAATCACTGATGTGTGACATTAAAAATTGTACAGAGAACATCCATCATTATGCAGAATTACTGTGCAACTTTATAAAAAAAAAATAGAAAAAGAAAATGCGCAAAAACAAACAAAACCATCCGTTCAACCAAGTGCCATGCATTATGCATTAGAGGCTGACAACAAGCACTGATATATTTAGCATGTGCAATTTGCATCAACAGACAGAGGATGAAACTGAATCTTGATTTGGATAGCTTTTAATGAGGTTGGATAGATGACACTGAAGGTTTGGTTTTTACAGGTCAGATTCACAAACTAGCAACACCAAGAGCTACTCCGGAGAGTGATGGCCATGATTATCAAAGGTTTTTGTGAAAGTGCCTTTAGGGCAAGTGGGCATACTGGGCAGCCATCTCTGTAATGCCCCTGGACAGCTATTTTTAGTCATGATCTGAAATCTCTGTAAATGTTTGTCAACATTACACTTCAGTAACATGTTTCAATCAGGAATAAAATATGATACCAGCTGCACCATAAGCTGTGCTTCTTAAGCACTAAAAAAAAGTATTTTTGAGGCTGGTCCAGCTAAAGCACATGCATTAATGCTCATATTCAAGTATAAATGTTAACACTTTACAATAAGGTTCAATTCATCAATCAGCAGAATTAGTTTGAATTAAGAGAAGCATGTATCATGCACTCACAATGACCAACCATTTTTACATTTATTAATATAGATCAGGGATTCCCAATGTTTTTGTTAGCCTAACACTTTTGACCTCAAATATTTTCTTTAAGTACTCCCCTGAGATAAGTTAATATTTCAATAATGTAACATATTTGCATGTTCACAGTAATCTGATATTGTTAATGGTCATATGACATGCAGGTAAACAAATTATATTTAGTATATAAGAAAGTTTTTAAATTTTTAATTTTGTTTTAATTTTTTTATTATTTATTCATTTTAATCTTCATTTTAATTATTTCAATATTCATTAGCTTTTCATGAATTCCCAGGTTTGGAAACCCTGATCTAGATTAATGTTAATTTATGAATATACTGTACTATTCTTCATTGTAAATTCATGTTCATTCAATTACTAATACTTGAAATGTATGCATATGTAGAAATTAACATTTACTAAGATCAATACATGTATTTATTAATTACTAATGTTGCTCATTGATACTTCATGATATCTAATGCATTAACTAATGTTAAAGTATTGAAGATTATTATAAAGTGTTACCATTTGCTCTTAAATATGAGTATTAGCATATGCACATTAATTGGACCATCCTGAAAAATACAGTTTTTAGTGTGATTTAAGCTTAAATAAGGTGATTGGATGTTTTAACTGTTGGGACTTGTGAACATTTTAATTTCTCCTATTTATATATCTAAAAGTGCACCATCTCTGTTATAGAGTCGTTGTACAGTGCATAAATGCTGTAAACACTGGTATAAAATCCCAAAACTACTAAATTAAAAAAGAATTGCAGGTAGTCAAACTCAAAACCACCTGCTACTAAATGTCGAAAATTGGCATTAAGGCTCTTGCATGAACAGCAGAGCGGCCTTGGCTCTCAGTAATGCACTACATGCTGAGAGACTGCTGCTTCAGGGCTTACGCTTGACAGCAATTCTGGAACATTCTGATGGGGACCCCCGCCAAGTCCAAATCTCTGTTTTTGGCATCAAGTTGCCATGGTCCAGATTTTCAAATAACGCTCTAAGAGATAAATGGGTCCCCTATGTTATTCAGTGACCCAGATACTTATATCACACACTGCTGTATGAGATGATAAGCTTATGTGGCTGCTCTAAGAAGTTTAGAATCATGGGTAAACAATGGTTATGACTTCTGGATGAACTACAAGAAGAACTACATTTTGCTCTGAAGGTGGATGTAGATTCACCTGTGAGGTCATCTGTAGGCCAGGATCCAAGCTCGCACATACGACAGGTGTATTCATCAAACACAAACTCGTTTTCTTTACATGGAGTGCAGGTCCAGCAGCAGCTCACCTCACCCTTACGGATAACCTGAGGTGGTCAGAACAGAGAGGTCAAGTTATGTAAGCTATAGATTTCTGTGAAGAAAATACTTTAGCTCTCAAAGCTGCCACCACAATGCAAAAGTGTTGTGGGCGGTTGCTACAGTGTTCTAAGTGGTTTTTAGTGCATTGCTATGTGGTTACTTAGGTGTTTTGAGTGGTTGCCATGCGGTTGCTAAGGTGTTGTGGGTGCTTAAGGTTCTACCTCCAAGTTTATACGATAATCTGCTCTCTAAATATGGCTTAGGCTCCTGTATCAGTATAAGTCAATGGGATTTTTTCAAACATGTATCATCTGCTATAAGAAATTTTCATGTCTGATTGCTTAGAAAACATCTCTGCCCATTACGATACATGGTTTGAGATAAGAGGTCAAAACTTTTGGTTTAAGGTCTTTCAAAAAAGTCTATCCACCTTATTTTTCCCGTAAGAGCAGGCATGATCATTTGTAAATTTAATGTGCCTGGGTTCCGGTCTCATCCGCTTCCAGCTATTTTTAGCTGTACAAAACAGCTCATTTTGCTGCTTGATATTGCAAACTGGTGTGTCTTACCACATTATTCTAATGTATTATCTTAATTATGAACACACTGGTTTGTAGTGCAAACAGTTTTACTGTTTACTGAACTTTATTTTTCTTCTCGTTATTTCCCTACAGCGGCTAATGAACTGGAAGTCTCACACATTCACACAAAACAGCTTATCTCCCTGTTGAAAAATAAGGTGGATATTACATCTTAATAGTTAAACTAAAAAATATATGCTGCCTTTCAAAAGTTTGGGGTCAGTAAACTTTTTTAAAAGAAATTAATACTATTATTCACGAAGGATGCATTAAATTGATAAAAAGTGATAGTAAAGACATCTATAATGTTACTGAAGATTAGTATTTTTTAAATAAATGTTGTTCTTTTGAACCTTCTATTCATCACAAAATCCTGAAAAAATGTATCATTGTTTTCATGCACAACTGTTTTCAATATTAATAATAATAATAAAAAAAGAATGTTAGAAAAGCATATTAGAATGATTTCTGAAGGATCATGTGACACTGAAGACTGGAGTAATGGCTGCTGAAAATTCAGCTTTGCATCACAGGAATAAATTACATTTTAAAATATATTAAATTACAAAATAGTACCTTTAAATTGTAATAATATTTCACAATATTACTTTTTTTTTTTTTTTTTTTATCAAATCAGCCTCGGTGAGCATAAAAGACATAAAAAATTTTACCGGCCACAAACTTTTGAATGGTAGTGTAAAATAAAAAAGCACATTAACACTTAAATAAACTGCATTTCCAATAATGACACATTTACACTGACATAACACATTTTCTTCTCAAATGATTCCTTTTTCACCTTTATCTGAGCTTTTTCACAAGGATCACTGCATACTGATCTGATGATGGCACTGCTGTTTGCCCAAATCTCCTCGTCATCCATCTTCAGCCCACTGTTGTCCCAGCTGCCCACGTAGATGTAGCTATAGTCCTCCTCACTCATCTGTTTAAAGTTCATGATTTCATACCTATAAAAACACATGTAAATTCACTGTTACGGGCGCGAAACGGTTAACCCAGGGTCATTCATGTTTTGCTCATAAAGTCATTCAGTCTAAAGGAAGATATTTCTGAAAATCACAATGACATCAACGAGAGACTGTTTTCATTCTCTTTAAAAGGAGTTTAGAAGCACATTCTGACTTGTGTATGGAGCAGAATATGAAAGATTCCTACCTCCCCGGGGAGTCTCCATTCTCATCAAACAGCACCAGTTCTCCCGAGACACCAGAGAAGTTTGTCCTCATGAGGAATTCTAAGAGTTTACCTCCATCAATCGGCCGCATGGCTTCACACAGACCGGCATAGCCGGGACACAGAGACTTCTGCATGGCGTGCAGTCCGTAAGCCATTGAGTAGATGGCATTGATCACAAAGCCCATCTTCGTATCCTGAGCGTACTGGTGTCGGAGCGACTCTTTCTCTATGAGACGTGTAGTGAAAACACACAATATATTCAGTTCTAAAGCCTCTTTTTGTATTATCTATTCAGTGCTTTCATCTGCCGCAGTAATGTCTTTATCTTCATTTAGGGGCTTTTCTCAGCATATACTGATATTATGCAATTCTTTTGATTACATTTTTGTTGATTTAATAGATTCACTATTAGATAGATGATAAATGGACAGATGGATGAATAGATGAAGTAGAAGGACATATGGATGGCTAGATGAATGAATTATGAATACCTGAATGAACAGATGTATTGATGGAATGAAAGACGGATGGATGGATGGATGGACAGGCAGATGAAGCAGCGAAAGGACAAATGGATGTATGATGGATGAACAGATTGACAGATGGATGATGCATACAATCGAATAGATGAAATTATGGAATGATAGATGGACGAATACATGAAGTAGTGGAAGGACAAACAGATGGATGGATAAATGGATGGGTAGATGAAGCAGTAAAAGGACAAATGATGGATGAATAGATTGACAGATGATGTATACATGAATGAATAGATGAAATGATGGAATGAAGGATAGGTGGATGGATGGATGGATGAATGGACGAATAGATGAAGTAGTGAAGTTGACATATTATTATTAAGTATTATTACTTTGTTACATTACACCACTGAGGATAGGTGTATGGATGGATGGATGGACGAATAGATGAAGTAGTGCAAGGACAAATGGATGGATGGATGGATAGACAAATGGATGGATGTATAGATGGATAGATGGATGGAGGGATGGGTGACTGAATGGATGATGAATAGATGGAATGAATGAATAGATGAATTGATGGAATGAAATATTGATGTATAGATATTTGGATGTATGGATGGGTAGATGAAGCAGTGGAAAGACAAATGGATGTATAGGTGGATGAATATATTGACAGAGTAATATATGAATGATGTATACATGAATAGATTAAATTATGGAATGAAAGATTGATGGATGGATGGATGAAAAAGAGAAAGTATTGGAAGGACAAATGGATGTAAAGATGAACAGATTGACAGATTGATGGATGGATGATGTATAGATGAATGAATAGATAAATTGACGGATTGATGGATAGATGGATGCATAGTTGGATGAATAGATGGATGAATGAGTAAACAGTTGAATGAATAGATGAGCTCATAAGTGCATGAATGGATGGAGAGATGGACACAGAAAAACAGATGTATAGATTAATGGATGGATGAATTGATGAAAGGACAGATAGATGTATGGTTGGATGGATGAAGATTGATAAATAGATGAATAGATGGATTGATGGATAGACGAATGGATGGATGAACTGATGAAAAGACATTTCAGATAAATTAACCTAAAATCATGTAAGATGTGAGTGTGACATGGGAGATCATGTGAGATCATCTTCCACTCACTGGTGCAGGTCTTGTTGTATTTGTTGCTCTCTTGAGGATGTCCCTTCAGACGGCACTGGAAGCGGTGCTGCCAGAACTCAGGAAACCAGGGGTTCCGGAGGTTCGTATCCGGCTTCAGGTTCAGGTAGTAATCATCAAACCACGTGACATAAGCAGACTGCAGTTTGATAGTAATTCCCCCCGCTGCCTCCCTCTGGAAGCCGTCAGTGACATCATAGCGGTCTGCCCAACCATCGCTGCAAAGTGTGCAAGAGACAAGAGAGTAATGAATGGCTTTTTTATAGAACAAACTCCCTTGAGAGACGGTCAGGGAGGCTCCCCGTCCAAACTGACCCACATAACAGGCAAAGCCCAGTAGTTATGACCAGGTTACTCTATAAATTAGGTCTTGAGGACACAGCAGGCCAGTATTTCATAGCGACAGTACAGTGACAGACTCATAATAAACCTCTCCATGAGATGTATGTGCTCCAAGGCTTCGCCATTAAGCATTAAAGGGATCTTTGGATGACAACAGACAAGTCTTGCCTTCTCCTTAAAACCTCTTTCATACAGACAAAAAAAAAAGAAAGAAAAGAAACTACACTTTTCAGCGTCCACTCCATCTATATGTTCTCAAACACTTCCTAAACTCATAGCGCTAAATGTTACACAACTCAGCAGTGTGTGGGAGGTATCATTTTTGTTCTCATGGTAGGTAAGGAGAGGCTTTCATAACTTGTCCTTGGAGGCAAAAGCAATGGGAGGGAAGCATAGAGGAGCATGTTAGTAGCAGCTTGAATCATCTCATGGAAAAGAGCTGAACAGCTCAGTAAACCCACACACTGACCCCAGCAGGTCAGCCTCCCTCTGCCCACTGCTGCTGCAGGAAAACTTAAAAACCACAACAACAAAAAAAAAGACAACAAAAATGCCAAAGCAAAGGCGCCACTCCCTTTAAAAAGATGTCTGACAGTATTTTACAGCACATTAAAACATATTGCAAAATTACGGTTGGGCGAATATTTGCTATATAAATTTGATATTATTTTGGTGCCAATATTAACCAACAAGTAGGAAATTTCTCACTTGTTCTTTGTGCTATGAGAGCACTAAAGGAGAGATGTTTTATCAGTGCATCTTATTTAAACCTTAGTAGAAAACGTGCAGATTGTTAGTTTGAATGAATCAGTTCAAAATACTGATTCAGTGATTTGCTTGTGTCGGCACTCAAATATGTTCATGGAAACACTCAAATTTCGATGAACGTTCCTCAGATTAAATAAAATCTACAAATCCATCTCAGTGCAAACCCAATAATAGCATCAGGTTTGAATACCATCAGAAGTCTGAAAAACGTTGAGAAGATGTATTATTTTGCAGAACATTATGTGTCCTATAGTGGACTAGTCACTATATGACTGTGGTTAGACATAAATTGTCTAAATGAAAAAACAAAGAAACAAGCAAACAATTATTACTTATACCTGTACAACAGATAATTGATTAATTTCTATCAGTTTACATACATTTTTATTTCGGTAACACTTTACAATAAGGTTTCATTTGTTACATTAGTTAACTACATCAGTTAACATGAACTAACAATAAAAATACTTTTACTTATCTAGCATTTATTAATCTTAGTTAAGGTTAATTCCATAATTTTTTAGTAAAATAAAAAGAAAACAAGTCGATAGTATAGAAATAGAATAGAGAGTTCTAGTGTTAGAGGGTCAAGTGTAGATGGAAGAGATGTGTCTTTAGACGTTTCTTGAAGATGGCTAAAGACTCAGCTGCTCGGATCGGGTTGGGCAGGTCATTACACCAGCAGGGAACAGTTAAGGTAAAAGTCAGTGTAAGTGATTTTGTGCCTCTTTGGGATGGCACTATAATGTGCCGTTCACATGCAGAATGCAAGCTTATGGAGGGCACATAATTCTGAAGTAGTGAATTTAGGTAAAGGGGTGCAGAGCCAGTGGTTGTTTTGTAGGTAAACATCAATGCCTTGAATAGCCTTGGTAGCCAGTGTAAACTGATGAACAGAGGTGTGACGTGCTGTTTTTGGCTCGTTAAAGACTAATCTTGTAGCCCTATTCTGGATTAGTTGTAGAGGTTTGATAAAACTGGCTGAAAGACCTGCTAAGAGAGTGCTGCAATAGTCTAGCCTGGATAGAACAATAACTTGAACAAGGCGTGTAGCATGTTCCGACAGAAAGGGCCTGATCTTCCTAATATTGTATAAGGCAAATCTGCAGGACTGGGCAGTTTTTTTCGCATTGTGGTCTGTGAAATTCAGCTGATCATCAATCACAAGTTTATTAATGTTAAATAATGGTACCTTATTGCAAAGTGTTACCTTTTTTAATTCAACCAGACGTGGTCAGCGTGTGGACGTTTCACATTTTGGAATCTACACGAATCACAGTTTTAATCTGTTAACAATTAGCCCACAGAGGAATAACACACACTCGTTTATGTGGGAAGCTGCTGTATTAAGCACAGAAAATAATATAAGATTTACACCAACAAATACTGCAAAGAAGCTGCAAAGTGAAACTGACAATTAAATTAGGTTACATTTTTTATCCATCCCTGGCGGGGTGAGTCAGATCAGCCCTCATCAGCAATGGATCAGCTCTTGTGCACACTTCACTGATGAACATTTTGACAGATAATACAACACAATACAATACTGTCCTCACACTCACTAGTGACAGATGGCTGGCCACAGTCTGCAAACTGCTCATTAGTAAATAATTGTAAGTCATTCAGTTGTGAGACAGAGGAGATGTTGACAAACAACCTTTGGTAACAATATTTTTTGTAAGGATCAACTGCAGTACCGTATGCCAAAACAAATATTTTTTTTTAAATATAAATATATTTCAAAATTCTATAAAAATGGCCAATTTTGTTTGCTAATGTAAGATTAAAGCAGCATAAAATTCAAGGCATCGATGTTTGCCTACAAAACAACCACTGGCTTTGCAACCCTTTAAGATAAAAAACAAATCCATAAATATATTTTCCATATGCTTTAGTTACTTATATTTACTCCTATATTTGGCTGTCATTTTTAAAATATATTTTTAATATTATTTTTATTTAAAAAAATATTTTGCATTTACCAAATGTTTTAATGTTGGTAAATTAATATTTTAATATATTTTCATGCACCTTGAAGTACATTTTGTAATATATTTTGGCATTTGAAATTTTAAATAAAATCTATTATAAATTAGAAGATTGCACTTTTGATAATGTATATTTTAGAAAATATATAGAAATATATTTTTGTGACTATATATAGGCAAACACACAAACACACGTGTATATATATATATATATATATATATATTTTTTTTTTTATCAATTAATTAATGCCAATAAAGCAAACATGCATATGTGGGGCATTATGTGTTTGAATGATATCAGAAAGCAACCGATATACCAAAGAAAGCACATGGAGTTTTTAAAATGTTTTGAGACACTTTATCACTTTTAGCCACATAGAGATCAAGAAACTGGAACAAAGACACAGTGGCCATATTCTCACTGAACCAAAGAAAAAAAGAAAAAAACAACAACAACATTCGGCTACCTTCCCTGGAGCTGGTGTCTGACACCTCATCAAACAAGCACACACACAAACTCGGTCATCCACTCATGCGTGATAAATACCAGGTACACACACACACACACACACACACACTGGCACCCCCATAAACATGGCATCTTCTCTCAGCACATCCAGGCTGTGTGGAATGCCCAGAGGCCCAGAATAAAGACCATGACACCATTTTCTGAAATAGATCCTATTCAAATATTCAGAAACTACATAAATAAGCAAAATATAGGCCCCTACCACAGAGCAAATCAACCAGCCTGTTAAACTTCACCGAAACAAAGATTTTCCAGATGCACGCAGTTTGATGTCATCTGGTTATAAAGCTCTTTAAAAGAGTTAATCTCAAAATAATGGAGTTTGTTTGGGCACTGGAAAAATACCCCAAAAATCATTTAAAGAGTGCACTTCATAAATTGCAGATGGATATATGAATGGATTACATCAAAATTCAAAACCTCACAAAAATGAATCTTTAGAAAAGATGAAATATTAACAGCTCATGCTTAAAAACACAAAAGCAAAAACAAATGTTTTCTCCCAAACATTTTGAAACTTAATTGGTGATTTTTAAATTGAATTTTAAATAAAAATAAATAAATAATGAAAAGTTTTGATGCTTTATTCATCAGTGTTTTGCAAAAAAAAAAAATGTGTGTGTGGGCGTGTGTGGGAATCACAGTTTTAATCTGTTAACAATTAGCCCACAGAGGAATAACACACACACTCATTTACTGTATGTGGGAAGCTGCTGTATTAAGCACAGAAAATAATATCAGATTTACACCAACAAATGCTATTTATTTGGCATATGTTTCACAATATTTTGTTGAATAAAACCAGTTAATTTGCAATGAAGGATGAATTTTTGTAATTGTATTTCCCCCTCTCATTTCAATTTAGCAGAAGGTGTTCTTATCCAGTCAATTTATTGTAAGCTCATCCTTAAAGCTGAACCGTGCACTTCTCCCAAACACTTCCAACAGCATATTTGTCTCTGTAAATAAAACTCATATAGGAGAAAGTATTTTAACTTTGAAAAAATTACACACTTCACCTCTAAGAGTTTATAAAATGGTCCTCGCGTCCACCAATGAGCGAACGTCTAATTATCCAACTGAAGAGCTCCTGAACAGAAGCAGAAAGTGGAGGGATTATTCTTAGTTTAATATCTCAAAGACATAATACATTATTTCAGTCCGTAATATCCACAAGCGATTTATTAATGGAACAGCCAGAACTGAATTGGGGGTAAAGCTAAAAATAGGTAATTTAGATGTCACACTCCAGGAGATTAAAAATGGGAAGAATAATTTCTTACTTCATTTGACACTATGAATAGCACGTGCAAATTTTTCAAGATGTCGATGCCAAGCCCAACTTAAACTTAAACAAGTCCAAGTCTGTATAAGAGACCATTTGTACCATCTGTAAAATCAGATCCAGCATTACAGAATTAGTTTGGTGTGACTGAACCTGTCAAGTCCTCGTTACAGAATCAACAGGCTTACACAAGAGGAGACATTATCATAACATGAATCAAGTGCCTATCACTGAAATGAACATAAATCACATACCTGGCTTCAGCAGTGGATGACTCTAATAGTGATGATGATGATGATGATGGTGATGGCAACATTTGTGGTGATAAAAGACAGAAAGATGAGCCTTGTTTCCATGTTTTGATCCGTCCTGATTTTGTCTCTCTCTCTTTCACACACACACACACACACACACACACACACACACATACAAGCAAAGAGTTGCAGATGATGATCAACAGGCATGGGTGGACATTCAAATGGTATTTTTGAAATACCTACAGAATTGGCTGATGGTATGGCCCTATCTGACCCACAAAAAAAACACTAAAAATGTAATGAACACAAGATAACATGCAGTAAACAGATCCAGAAGACAGGGGTGACTGGGGCTGGTTGTCACACTGGGAAGTCATCATATGAGGTACATCTCAATAAAGTTTTGAATCAAAAGTCCAAACACAAATATAAGTTTACTCTAAGGTTCTCAATGTGTGGTAAGGGCAGGTTTTCACATGTGCATCATTTTATACAAATGATGCATTAAATTAAACGCTAGCCAAAACAATAGTTTCATATTTTTCAACTTATATGTTCTCTTTTACTTTTTCTGTTTACATTTTTGTGGAGAAGCCATTAAAGTGGCAGTAAAGACATTTATGTTACAAAAGATTTCTGCTTCAAATAAATTCTGTTCTTTTAACTTTCTATTCATCAAATAATGCATCATAGTTTCTACACAAATATTAAGCAGCACAACTGTTTTCAACAATGATAATAATAGGAAATGTTTCTTAAGCAGCAAATCATACAGGGACCAATTCTCACTATTAACTAGTTGCTTATTAGCATACCTATTATTAACATATAATGCATGACCATATTCTACATCCCTAATCCCACCCAATACCTAAACTTAACAATAGCAGGAAACTTTCTCCTGGGCAACTGCAGAGAAAAATATTAATTGGATAGTCATGACTCTCTATGGTATGCATCTAAGCAGAATATACAATTTAAAACTAATATATTCAAAACAAATTATACTCTTGAGAAATGGTCACTGGAGTAAAACATGTGGCAACTACCCTCCGTCTCCTCTACAATACTTCCCAAGTATGCTGCATAGTTGTTTTTCTGCAGGAGTAAGTGTTATAGATGTACAGAAAGCTTACAACACCTACACTTTGAGAAAAAAAAAAACAAGATTTGTTTTCTAAACCTGCCAAGAGTGCTTGCCACAGCTCACAGGCACAATTTTAGGAGTGTTTTCTTGCCGTTGCTTTGATAAGAAATGTCTGCCAAAAATATAAATCCATGTGCATAGAGTCCATGTTTTGGGTAACTCACCTGCCAACCAACAGAAACTCTCCAACTAGGCGGCGGCGTCTCATGGCCATGAGGATGCCACGTACGGTCATGCCCTCGCAGAAGCACGCCACCACTCGAGCTTTGGGCAGGTGGATCCTGAGCTTATCGAGAAGACGGTCAAAACTCTGTTCTCCAGCATTGCTGTAGATCTTGTCAGAGTGGGCGATACAGATGCCCTCCTTTGCTGCCATGTCTTTGAAGGCCTCCATTCCGCTCTCACCGTAGTTCCCTGAAGATTGAGAGATTGAATGATTTTTAAACTTGAAACACGTTCAGAAACTTTCTTCACAAATTGTATTGCTGCTGGGCCATCACAGTTTCAGTAACAATGCTAAAACTTGTGAACATTTAAATGATAAAATCATTATAATATATTGTATTATATTATAGTATTCCTCCAAAAAAATATATATTATTTTTGTTATTTATATTATCTGTAAAATGTATTTATATTTAATAATATTTTATTAGAATTTAGATTTAACATTGATTTAATAAAATATCTATATCAAATAATTTCTTGTTTTTAATATAAAATAGCTTGAAATTGTACAGCTATAATGTAACTCTATGACAGAGATGGACATCACAAATGTCATTTTGATTGGTTCACAAAACAATCCACAGTGAAATGTGATGCTCAACCTGGTAAACTCATGCTAAAATAACCTTGTTAAAATCTTCAGGAGGATATGAAGAGCTGTAGGTGCTACACACAGTCAGGAACAGCACCAGCTTTGGCTAACTTTCCCACATTTTATTTGTATCATTATTTCTTCTGGTGTTTACAAATAATATCCTACTTTCTCATTATTACCATGACTTGACCGGGTAGGCCAGTGGAAGAAGTAGTGAAACATTCGGAATAGTAGATTGAACACTAATTTCGAGTGATCATGGCAATTTTGATTTTCTCATGAAATGACCCTGTACTGCTGAACTGAAAGTAACATGAATTAAGACGTCATGTTTACTGCAAAGTTTCCTAAATCATCATTTATATTCCATAAAAGTGTCCATGTTCTGTGCTTTGCTTCCTGGATACATTCAGTAAAAAATAAAAATAGATTTCCCTTTTTCATGCTTAGAAAACTAATGAAAAACAGGCCATGGTGCCCCTCTTTCACAAAGCGTCAGGGGTAAACTCCCCCACTTTACATAAAAATCAGGTCACCTACTTTTGTGTCAGGAATGTTCCGTCTTCTCACATTTTACGAGGTACGAATTTGATACAATTGCAAAGAAGTCTTGATAAAGAGCATACAAACACCTTCATTTCACCCAAATAAATCTACTTTCAGTGTTTTTTTTCCAAATCAATGCACAAACATCTTAATTACACCCGAGATTATGAGTTCTGATAATGGAGATTATGAGGATTAAAACAACATTCACAAGATCATTCCAGTGATGGAGCTTTGCAAAAAAATAAAAATAAATAACATTAGGAGTGAGTGTAGTGGTTAACAGTCTGGACTCGTCACCTAATAGGTTGCAGATTCAAATTTGGCAGAGGTGATTTGTGAACTGTAAGGTCATTGAGACCCCCGTCACCATCACGTCCCTGAGGAAAACACTTAACCCCAGGTTGCTATCAGCATTCTAGCGAGTAAGCTAAGTCTGCAAGGTGAGAAATCTCCACTGCTGTTCATCCTGACATGAGAGATTTGAGGAACTGTACCAAAAAAACATGGAGGGCTTTTGCCAAAATTGCAGCAGATATTGGTCATTCCTGGTATGCAGTACATTTTCATGTACCCATCATATAGTCTCAATATTTTAATAATGTACATTACTGTTAAAAAGTTTGGGGTCAGTAAGATTTTTAAAAGAAATCAACACTTTTATTCAACAATTAAGCATTAAATGTATTGAAAGTGACAGTAAACACAATTATAATGTTACAAAAAGTTCCACTTTAAATATGTTTTTGCACTTTGTGTTCATCAATGAGTCATGGTTTCCACAAAACAATTAAGCAACACAGCTGTTTGTAACATTGATAATAATAAGAAATGTTTCATGAGAAGCAAATCAGCATATTAGAATGATTTCTGAAGGATCACGTGACACTGAAGAGTGACGTAACGGTGCTGAAAATTCACCTTTGCCATCAAAGGAATTTATTACATCTTAAAATATATTAAACAGAAAACAGTTATTTTAAATTCTAATAAAATTTCACAATATCACTGTTTTTACTGTATTTTTAATCAAACAAACGCAGCATTGGTAAGCATAAGAAATCTTAGCAAACGCCAAACTAGTGTCTTAATGATAAAATGTGAAATATTAATATTAAATATTACTGTAACACTAACTACTTTAAATATTGTTTTGTAACCCTTTAGCTAACTTTAAATATTATTTTGTAATACGTTAACTAACAGATGCAAATGAATGACATCACCCTCCATTAATAATTTTTCTGATCACTTTTGATGGAAAAAAACAAAACAATCATCATTAAGAATTAGCAATGAATTTGATGGATTCCGTGATATTTTGTGCTTTGTCTTACTCTAGAACATCCTGAACTCTTTGCTAAAATGACAGAAATCAGTATGATGCTATCAAAATTTAAAAAAAGAGAGAAAAAAATAAAGCTTTTATTGAGCAATATTTACTGAATTGAGCATTTTGTTTTTTATTGACATTGTGTAAATAATCAAGGGTTAATTAATAAAATCTAAGAGCATATCTATCCAAAAACTTGACTATCAAAAGCATCTCATTCTTCATCTCTGTGAAGTCTTAGATTTGAGAAGTGTACTTCCAAATGCGCATTACTTCATCTCTAATCTCTCTCCTCAGGGAAGATCTTCTTCAAATCTTTCACTCCATTCCTCTGTGCCAGTTCTGTGAATTAATTCCCTCGCTGCGCTCATACTTCACTAGAACCTTCTGTCTCAGATAAAAATGGATATATAATTAAAAAAATTAGAGTTACATAATATTTTACAGGCATTTCAATGATAAAGGGCAGAAAACATGTGGTCCTGCAATTCAATAGGTCGGTCAAAAGAAGCAATAACAAATGTGGGTAAAATGACCTCTGCACACAATAACGGCGAAATTTTGATGACCTCGACTGTCTCTTTCCCTCCTACAGAGAGACAGACAATGCACAAGCGACAAGTCTTTAAACAGTGTGTTCACTCAAACAGGAAAATTCATTAAACGCCCACAGACACTGGAAACAGAGCTAAAGATGTAAATGATCATCATGATCGCCTTTCAGCTAATGATTTCTGTTTGTTCTATGGTCTGTCATGAGGCCAAAAAAGGCCAAAACAAAAGTGCAGCAGCAACACAATACGTGAGCGTATCTATTAACCATTCACTCTGTGTACGCTGTATGCAAAGCATCATGGGGGTGTTTTCAAACATCAAAGACACTCTTGAACATGATGAAACAATAGATAGACAAATCTGCAGAAAGGTAAGATGCTGCTTGACACATCATCTGAATGGTCTTTGTTTGAAAGGAAACTTTTGCATTTCAATACCTCCAATAAAATATATTTGTATAAATAGACAGTAAATCTAACTATTAAACACACAGCTTTCATTAAAATACTTCTTTAGTAATTTCACTGGCAATTTTCATAACTAGGCAAAAACTCCTTTTCCTCATCGGTGTTCAGCATGTTGATTGACAAGCTGGTTAAACACAAGTCAAATCAAATGTGACTACAAACATTTGGTCTATTTTATCAATAGAGCTCACAAATGAGCTGAGCTCACATATCAAATTATGATATGATACAAATAGAGCTACAGAATATGCAAGCAAATGAATCAACATTATGGAGTATTTCACAGCTCCTTGTTCTGTATGTGGGTGAAAACTGGGGTGGGCTCCACATTTAACTACCCGCTGTCAATTAACACCTGTCTGTGAGGTCATCAATCTTCTAGCCAAACCGCTTGAGTTTGTAATATTCAGTAAACTATGCATCATTGTTAATATTTAATAGTTAACTAAAACTAAAACCATAAACAACATTTCTTGTTACTTGAAATAAACGTTAACTGAAATAAGATATCTAAAAAAATTATTTATACTGCTTGAGTTTGTAATTTGTTCAGTAAACTATCCACCCAGGTTAATATTTCATATTTAACAGTTAACTAAAATTAAAAGCATAAAAACATTTTTGTTACATGAAATAAAATATATGTTAACTGAAAAAAAAATAAAAACTATTTATAATATAAGAAACTTATTTTATTTTCATCTAATTGCCAAGGCAGAATTTCTCATTTTTATTTAGTTTAACTTGATATACTAAAATAACTAAAACTAAAAACTAATAAAAACGATATATTTAAATATTTTAAAAACAAAAAATAACAAAAACACAGCACAACTGCTAAAACGTAACTAAAAAAAAGAGAAATATATATAAAAAAAATAAAAACTAACTTAAAATACTAATAAGAACAATAATAGTATCTCAGTGGTACTAAAATAACATTGCTATGCACATTCAAGATATAAAGTCTGACTTAATGCAGTTTAAATGGTGTTACATTTGTTGTCACCAAGTGTAATTTAATAAACAAGTACATAAAAATGATTAACAGATGCTATCTTGACTACACATGGCATATGCTGCATCAGAGACATAAAATCTTTATGAGAACTCCTTAAAAGATGTGACATTTCCCTCTATGAATAATAAAGAGATTTCGCTGTTTGGGCCAAGATAAAGGTGAACCGCAACAGACAGAATGATACATTATCACTGGAAAATCTCTCACTTTGAGAACGTGGAAGATTTAACACTTTAAATAATAGTGTTACATGCTGGTGGAGATCTGCCTTTCTCACTGGAAGACTTTTGTGAAATACTAATGAGAGGAAGAAATTAAACCTCCAGAACAAAAAAAATGAATTCTGCTCAAAAGAAAAGAATGAAAAAGAGTTCCAGGGCAGACTTAGTTCTTTTAAGAAGCTTTTCTCTTCTAACTGTGGAAAATCTCATAATAACCATGAAGAAAAATGCTTCCCTGAGGGGAGAGATCACATACCTTCAGTGTGAATGGCAGATACATAGGTCCAGTTGTATTTTTTGACGATGTCCACCATCGCTCTGGCCTGCTGGGCATCGGAGGGCACCACCCTCATAAAGTACTTGTACAAAGACTTATCGCTGAGATCCATACTGGTTGCCGAATATGCAATCTGGGGAATGTTGAAGAGCTGAAGGAGATTCTGAACCTGGATGGCCACAGAACTGGATCCGGGCCCGATCAGCCCCACAATGGGCTTCTTCCCTTTCATGGGAGTCCCTCCACCTTCAGTTGAACACTTAGACATGCCTTCTTCCTCCTCGGCTGAGACTAGAGTGTCACGAATGAACTCGATGCTCTGCTCCAGAGCCACAGCCGAATGCCAGCAGGAGTCTCTGATCTCGCAGCCCAGTGTGATGTTGGGTAGGATGTGTGGGTCCGCGTTGATGCGGTCCAGGGTGTGCATCATGGCCTCCACCCGCTGGATGCCATACTGCTCGCGTACAGCGCCGCATTTGCGCTCGTGAACCTTATCGGCCGGTGGCTGATGATGGACGGAGAAAAGAGCCCCGATGATGATGTCACCGGGTATGTGTGCCAAGACACGTCGCTCGCTGGCCTGGGCCTTCGCTAAAATGTCTGAACGTGTAGGACCCAATCTGTCTCCGAGCAGCACAAACACCAGAAAATGTAAAATCCCCATTTCCTCAACCCTCTCAGATCAGAGTGTCAAATACTGGTAGGTTCCTCAGGGCATCTGAAAGAGTCACAAGAAGCACAGATCTTCAGAACAATATCCTTGGAGATCATCAACCTCCCACTGAATCACAGAGGTGCATATTTGTGAGAGTCGTGATAAGGATGAGCTGTCGCCAGGGCAACGTCTTATTCTAAAGTGTGAGGATTTTTCTGCCTTCCTCTAAATATCTCGAGATCAGGAGGAAAACAAAGTTGAAATGCACATGAAGAAGTTTGTGAAATGTGCTTGGTAGATCTCAATAATGAGATGCATCATTAACAATGACCTGTTAGAAACAAAGAGCACATAAATCTTAAAATATGTATTGATTCTTATTCATGTATTCATTCAGAATCAAAACCTCAGAGATTTTGCACAACACAGAGACCCGGAATATAATGATCGTATGCAGATTTGCAGCCACTGAATATTTACATGGCCTCTTTAACCTCTTTTCATTAATGTAAATGAATTATTCATTTCATTAAAATGAGTTACACAGTTTAGAGAGATAAATACAGAATTCCCCAGAATGATTTTTGGTTAGTTATAAGAGAGCCATTATATCATAAAACATATTGTGCTGTTTCCTTCAGTTTACAGGGTCTGAGGGCTATATCTTATACTTTTACAGATCACTTGGGGAAATCATAGCATGCCAAGAAAACATGGGAGAGGGATTTGGGGATTATTATTGATGTCTATCCACAATTTATACTACTTTCAGTTGCAATAGACTGATAGAAACCCACTGTATGAACACAGAACCCCATGTATATTTAATAAGATTGATCCTTCACACTCACCTCAGTGCTCAAAATGCAGAGTTGGTATTGGTACATGGACGCACTATTTATGTTCCTCTATTGACAGGTTTTGCTCTGACTTAAAAGGAACTACGATGAATTTTTAACCAGCAGGACTACATATATTCAGTTTTCCAACTCGGAAGAAAACTCTGAATTCTTCTAACACAAAATTGTTGGACAAACTTATAAAATGCATTCTGTTCAACTGGATCCGTGACAAACCACCAACAGTTATTTAACATTACAGAGAAATGCATACTGCATAGAACGCGTGCTATGGTTAATGTGTTTCTTTTATTAGCTGTTGTACATTATATTATATATGTGAATGTTAATTTTAACAAGAAGTTAGAGAGAAATTAATTACTTTATTAACTGAAAAAGGTGCCAAACATAAAAGTTACACGATCCAAAAAGCATTCGCTGCCGTCTGAGCTCTCCGTGGTGCTGAAATACAATCTGAAGCGTCAACCACAAACCAGTGAATTTGAATCAATGAATGGCAATAATGTGGCGAAATACCACTTCATATATCGCCATAACACATACTTAGGAACTGGACAAATAAAGCATACGACCGTTCAAATCAACCGAAACATGCCCATGAACTTAAGCGTGAGGCATTAGACTTCTGTTGAAAAAGTGTTAAATATCATCGTCAATAATAATAAAAACAGCAATGATAACACAATTTACCGTTCGCTCGTTAATTTGGTCCATTGCTCCTGCTCTCACAACCGAAACGTCTCTGTGTGTAGGAGCGCGTGCGATGCGCTTTCACTTCGGCGACAATTCTCGCGCGCGTCACGTGACTATTTTTTTTTCTCGCAGTTCATGACAACGATGAAACCATACCGAAGTAATCTGTTACTCTAAAAAGAAAAGTAACAGAAAAGTCTAAACCTATTTTTTAAATACAGTTTTGTCAGTGGACGTTGATCATTTATTTTTGTAAACATAAACCTCTAAGATATGTTTTAAAAACTAACGTTACAAGGATATTTCTTTTTTATTGGAGTACCCGCCCTATGTGTTGTAAGGTTTACCTTTTCCTGAACATCTCAACTGATTGGTTGAGAAAAATATTTTTTAAATTAAAGGTCAGAATGAAAAAGTTCGAAAGTCTGGTATTTCACTGACTAGAAAAAGCTTTTATTAGAATTCTTTCCCCTTAAATATTTCTTTCAGTGATAGTAACAGCGCTGATGCAGACTTTCTGACCACTTACCTTAGTCATACGGGCACAGCGCCATCACCTGGTAACTCAGAATATTAGATTCTTTATTACAGATTAGTGCTACTTCTCAACTTTTTGTTTTACATTTAGTCTCAAGTACCCCTACATCAACAACAAACCAGAAATAACTCATAATTTACATTTAGTTGTATTATTAATATCACTAAATAAAAATAATAAAACTATTAAAGTGATTCCCTTTTAAACTAAAAGTTGATGATGATACTGTAAGTGAAAAACAAATTTACAGATTAAGTCCTTTTAAAGAGGAAGCGTTGGCAGTTCCAGGGCTGTGTCCAGTCCATCTGACATTGTTTTGCTGTAAAGAAGAGAGAAATTAAAGAAACTTAAACATCTACCTCTGTATTTTACTACAAGTGTAACCTAATTTTTACATATTAATGTGTGCCCGTTATCAGGAATTACTGCTATAGATCACCTTCAGATAACAATACAGGCTTCCATAAAATATTTAATGGTAAAATATGTACTGCTTGCAAAGATGATTTTTTTTTTTCTGGAGCAAATCCAAGTGAGGCTGTGAATAGTTGTGTTATCAAACATGTATTATTAATAATATGTAAATTATATAAAGATTTTAGATATAGATTTTTTGTGTACATTTTATATAAATATTCTGCATATTTTATGTACTTCTTATGTAATGTCTTATATAATTTATGTATACTTATATAATTTATGTATACTTAATATCTATATATAGTATATATCTATACTATATATATAGTGATTAAAAACTTAACTGTATACAATACAATTAATTTGCAAGGTCATAGGATATACATTAGAAAGGACAGCAATACAGGCATATGCAGCTCCTCTACATGTTACTATATCACTATTGGCCTCTAGATGGCAATAACATACTTTTTTTATTTTATAGAACACATTTAAAAAAATGTAAAAATCCTATTTTGTTCAGGTCGTGGCATTAGCTGGTTATCACCTGACTTTATTATTATAATGTAGTTGTGTGATCCAAAACATAAAACAACATTTTATTCACACCAAACAAAGTGCAAAACCTTTGATCTGGTGTGCGGTAAGGCTACAAATTAATATCACCTGATTCTAATCGTGGTGGTCTATTTAATGCTCTTTGCAGTTGATTGTTTGTAATTGCAGTCAGTCTGCCATTGAGAGATCTGTTTTTTTTTTTGTACTAACTCCAGCTTTCGGTTCTCCTTTATCAGTTATTGTAATGCTTGATCGTAAAACCTCTTGTATAGTGTGTTAGCATTGATTGGCCTTTGGATAGTGCACTGAGCATCAAAATGCCTACTGAAAATCTGATAAACCTGTCCAAGTTCAAAAATAAGGGCAAGGAGCCAACGGTGAGCTGTGCATATATTCTGGCAATTTTCCTCTCTTTTAACTGTTCACTCCTTGATCTCTTGATGTCTCTGCACCCTATCTATGCTTGCAGAAAATGCGTGACTGTAGAATCGCAGAGTGTGTTGAACTTCGAATAGCTCAAAGGGTTGAAAGTATTTTGAAGAGGAGAAATATCTACTCTGTGGGAGATGAGGAGCCTCTGTCACCAGAGTATAACACTGACAACGAACAGGTGTTTGCTAGTTAAACCTTTAATTAGAATTTACAGGTTTACAATACTCTTGAAACTCAGTTTTTATTTTGTTAAGGTCACATCTGCAACAATTCAAGAAATTGATGCAAATGTGAACAGTGACTGCCCAGAGAAGCAGAGACAAGGTTGTCAAGCAGCTAGGTACAATCACCAGTCTTAACTTCATCAGTGATCTCAAAACATTTTATAGAGCATTACCAACCTTCAAATTGATGCTTGCAGGAAGCTGCTTTCTTGGGAGAGGAACCGTCCCCTGAAGGAGATTGTAGAAGCTGCACTTCTGACTCACTTTGTGGAGTTTTTAGGAAGGCATGATGACCCCACGCTGCAGTTTGAGGCTGCCTGGTCTCACGCCAATGTTGCATCTGGCACCTCCTGGCACACACAGCAGGTGGTAGAGCATGGGGCAGTGCCAGCCTTCATTGCCCTGCTGGCTTCACCAATGCTTAACATCAGTGAACAGGCTGTCTGGGCTTTAGGCAACATTGCAGGTGAGTATACATTGAACTTCATGGTGTTTTCTGCGTTCTAAAACAATATGGCGGTAGAACATTTGTACTCTTAATGATTGGTGAAACTTGGGTTCTTGAATGTTCAGAGAGGAACAAAGGATGACGATGCAAGTTGTACTCTTCTGAAGATTGAAAGACCATTTGCCAAGATGTTCTTTATCCCTTTTTAGGTGATTGTCCATCATATCGAGATGCCCTGATTGAGTGTGGTGTCATCCCTGCTCTGTTGGCACTACTCATGCTAGATGCTCCTGTGAGTTTCTTCTGGACACCCCACACCCAAGTTGCAAGTGTAAATGCATAATGTTATCCACAATGTTTTTGCAGGTGGGATACCTTTGCAATCTTGCGTGGACCCTGTCAAACCTTTGTAGCAACAAGAATCCCTTCCCTCGTTTCAGTGCAGTCCAACAAATGCTCCCCTCCATTATCCAACTGCTGGTGACAAATCCATCCTGTCTGATGCATGCTGGGCCATTTCGTACCTCACTGAAGGACCCAATGTGTGGATTGATGTGGTCATCAAGACTGGAATCGTTCCATGGTTGGTTGAGCTCTTGGGATTTGAGGAACTTGCTGTGGTGGTAAGTACTGTAGTGTTTTGTTTTCTTTTGGTGTTGAAGCTAAACGGCTTAAGAGGAGTTTCTCCAATATGCTCTAGACACCAGCCTTGCGTTCGATTGGGAATATCGTGAGTGGCTCAGACCTGCAGACACAAGCGGCCATTGATGCAGGTGTGTATTGCCCTATCTGATGCGACACCCTAAGTCCAGTGTTCAGAAGGAGGCAGCTTGGGTGGTGTCCAACATTGCAGCTGGACCCTGCCAACAAATCCAACAGCTCATCACGTGTGTGGATTGTTGGCTCCTCTAGTGGATCTCCTAAGGAATGTATGTCGTAACTGATGCCTTGTTTGCATGTTGAGTGTCTCCTGCCCACGCAGAGTTGCCCATAAAATGTTCTGGCTTCTACTTGATTGCTTGCTTCTCCTAAAGCTGGGCATAAAATGAGGCCAATTATGCAAGCAGACCCTCCTGGGGCTTCTTGAAATGTAGTTGCATTTCCAGTTGGCAAAAGTGTACCGTAACA